GTCTTGCTTAATTGAATAACGTATTATATTCGTTCATGATAGACTCAATACCATAGGAATATATGATTGATATATTATGGGCAGGCGAGTAGTATTGTGGGGACTTGCTATTCATATAAATGATCCGGTTAATTAGCAACCATAGATAATCTATATTAACGAGTGTGATTATTGAACTTACTAGGATTGATAAACCAACCACAACCCTGGAATTTTCACCTCATCTGAATTAAAATCTCACCATACACATTTGCATTCTTGATAAATTAGTTGTTGCTTGTTTAATTTCCGCAATTGTAGATTAATAGAAAAATATCACTCTTAAATATATTAGACAATTGATTGATTTTAGTTTGCTTAGTTGATAATTGATCTAAGTCTCTGTGGGTTCGACATCCGGCTTTCGAGCCACTTTATTACTTGACGGCCACGTATACTTGCGTGTACTTGGGGAACCAACAAGTTTTTGGCGTCGTTTCCGGGGACTTAGTTATTGATTGTTTATCTAAGTTAAGCTTGTATTCGTTATTTGTTAAAGTTTTAATTTTTAGTTTGCTTTAGTTTGTGATAACGCAGGCTCTTCTCTTGAATGCGGAGGAGTAAAAGCGCAAACAATATCATTCCTCTTGATCCTGAGATCGAATGAACACTTCATAGAGTGAGGAGGGAAGTTGAAGCTAGAACTAGAATTAAAAGAGAGTTGGACATCGTAGTTCAACCACAGCCAATAGCGATAGCAGGTAAAGAATGTCGTCCGGTGATAGAAGCTGCAAGGCCCAATCTTGATAATATGACTCAGGCAATTGTGAAGCCTGAGATCATGGGTCACTTTGAACTCAAACAATATATGATACGGCTGATTCAGTCCACAGGGCAATATGTGGGTCTATCTCATGAAGACCTGCAAAGGCACATTGATAACTTCCTAGAAATTATAGACACTTACAATTATCCGAATGTTTTCAAGGACTATGTCAGGCTGACACTATTTCCCTTTTCACTACTACGGGAAGCTAAGGAATGGTTGCAAAAGGAGCCCGCGAACTCAATCCACAATTGTGATGATCTAGCAAGGAAATTCTTAATTAAGTAGTTTCCCACTAAGAAGACAAAGTCGCTGAGGAGCCAAATTCTTGGGTTTCAACAATGAGATGGCGAGACTCTTCGTCAAGCTTGGGAAAGATACAAGAAGCTACTCAGAGACTGCCCACATCATTGTTAGACACATGAGGTGTTGGGTCACACTTTCAGTGATGGGTTGAATGAGGCATCAAATATGAATCTTGACTCAGCATGTGGGGGTAGTTGCATGGCAAGACCGTATAGAGAGATCCAGATCCTGCTAAACAATTTATCTGCTTATGATAATAATTGGCAAGGAGATAAGGAACCACGAAGAGCACATTAACAAAAGGCAGCAGGTGTATCGAGCTTGATGATTTCTCAGCCATGAGGGCAGATATAGCGAGATTAGCAAATTAGATGAATAAGATGACAATGCACCAAGCACAACAGATGCAGCATGTGCAACAGATGTCTACTTGCGGCGAGTTATGTGGTGAAGGTCACACAAGTAACATATGCCCTGTGAATCTTGAATCCATCTACTACGTGGGGAAACAAGCTAGAGGGCCGATAAATCAAAATGCTCAATATGGTAACACATACAATCCGAACTGGAGGAATTATCCTAACTTCTCTTGGGGTGGAAATCAGAACATCAGGCCTCAAGTGAATTATAATCATCCACCTCAACCTCCAATGCAATCAGAAGAGAGTTTGACTGACATGATGAAAAAGCTCTTTCTAGACAAATAGAAAGTTATGGCTGAGAATCAACAATTGCGCACAGAGTTCAGAAATCTAGAGAGGCAGTTTGGGCAAATGGCTAACAATCAGAATATTAGACCTGTTGGAGCTCTACCAAGTGATACAGAGAAAAATCCTCAAGTCAATACAGTGACGTTGAGAAATGGGAGAGAGTTAGTAGAAGTGCCTAAGAAGAAAAAAGAGCAGTCTGGGCTCGAAGAAGAAAGAGTGCCAATACCTATTGAGGTAGATGAGAGAAACAAAATAGTGGCTGAGCAAATATCAGAGAGGATGCCACCTCCTTTTCCTCAAAGATTGAGAAAGAAGAATAATGACCACATGTTTCACAAATTTTTAGATATACTGAAGTAGATACACTTGAACATCCCTTTGGTGGATATGCTCTGTGAGGTCCCAAAATATGAAAAATATATTAAGAATATAGTGGCAAATAAGAGGAGATTAACTGAATTTGAGACTGGCGCACTTACTAAGGAGTGCACTTCCAGGATTCAACATAAGCTTCCACAAAAGCTTAAGGATCCGGGTAGTTTTACAATCCCTGTGAGGATTGGTGAAATTGATGTGGGTGGAGCCTTGTGTGATTTGGGTGCAAATATCAATCTGATGCCGTTGTCAGTGTTCAGACAATTGGGATTAGGAGCTCCGAGACCCACCACGGTGCTGCTACAATTAGCTGACAAATCTTATGTTTATCCTGGGAGGGTAATTGAGGACGTCTTGCTGCAGATTGGGAAGTTTATTTTCCCTTCAGATTTGATTAAATTGGACTACGAGGATGATGAGTTAGTTCATTTCATCTTGTGACGACCTCTTTTGGCCACTGGAGATGCCATTATCAATGTCCGAGAAGGTAAGATGATCCTGAGGGTGGACAATGAATAAACGGTCTTCAATGTATATCGAGCCATTCAGTTACCTCATCATTACGAGGACTTGGCCATGATTTCTGTGGTGAAGATAAATGAACCAGCCATAAAGGAAAGTGCATTAAAAGAATATGCGCTAGAAAAGACATTGATGTTGTTCAATCACTTGGAACTGGAAGAAGAGGTTGAGGAGATGTTGCAAATTTTGGATGCATCTTGTGAATACATAAGAGAAAGATCCCAGTTTGAGCCTCTGGATAGGCCAATCGGCCTGCCCCCTAGACCCTCAGTTGAGGAGGCTAAAACACTGGAACTTAAACCATTACCATCTCATCTTTATTATACATATTTAGGTAGTTCTAACACTTTACCTGTGATTGTTTCTTCTTATTTGTCTAAATTGCAGAAAGAAAAGCTCTTAAGTGTGCTGAGGGAGCACAAGCATGCCATTGGTTGGACAATGTCTGACAAAAAGTGTATTAGCCCTGCATTCTGCATACACAAAATACTCATAGATGAGGGACACAAGCCTAGCGTGGAACATCAACGCCGCCTAAATCCAATCATGAAAGAGGTGGTAAGAAAAGAAGTGATTAAGTGGCTCGACACAGGTATAGTATTTCCCATCTCCGATAGTAAATGGGTAAGCCCTGTTCAATGTGTACCTAAAAGGGGGGGTATGACTGTTGTAGTGAATGAACAAAATGAATTAATCCCAACTAGGACTGNAAATGAATTAATCCCAACTAGGACTATGACTGGTTAGCGAATATGCATAGATTATAGGAAGTTGAATAATGCTACACGAAAAGATCACTTCCCCCTCCCTTTCATTGATCAAATGCTTAATAGGTTAGCCGGACAGGAATACTATTGTTTCCTTGACGGCTATTCGGGGTATAATCAGATTGCTATTGCCCCGGAAGATCAAGAAAAGACCACTTTTACATGCCCTTATGGCACTTATGCATTTAAGAGAATGCCATTCAGGTTGTGTAATGCACCTGCGATTTTTCAAAGGTGTGTGATGGCTAGTTTCACCGATATGGTGGAATGGTTTGTGGAGATTTTTATGGATGATTTTTCTGTGTTTGGTTCTTCTTTTGATGAATGCTTGACCGATCTTGCTAAAATGCTTGCTAGGTGTGAGGAGACTAATCTGGTACTGAATTGGAAAAAGTGCCATTTTATGGTACGTGAAGTTATAGTGTTGGTGAACAAGGTGTCGAAAGATGGATTGGAAGTTGACAAAGCTAAGGTGGAAGCAATTGAAAAGTTGCCACCACCGATTTCAGTGAAAGGTGTTAGGAGTTTTCTGGGACATGCAGGTTTTTATCGCCGATTTATAAAAGATTTCTCTAACATTTCCTCTCCTTTGTGCAGGTTGTTAGAGAAGGATGTGCCGTTCAATTTTGATGATGCTTGTCTTAAAGCATTCGAGGAGCTGAAAAAGAAGTTAGTGAGTGCACCAATCATAGTTGCTCGTGACTGGAAAGAGCCATTTGAGCTGATGTGTGATGCTAGTGTTGGTGCAATTGGGGCCGTGTTGGGCCAGAGGAGGAGCACAATTTTTCACTCCATTTACTACGCAAGAAAGAATCTTACTCCTGCATAAATAAATTATACTATGACAGAAAAGGAGTTGCTTGCTGTAGTGTGGGTGTTCGATAAATTTTGGGCCTATTTGGTTAGCACCAAAGTCATCGTCTACACAAACCTTGCATCCATCAGGTATTTGTTCGAAAAGAAAGATGCTAAACCAAGGCTAATCAGTTGGGTTTTACTCTTTTGCAGGAATTTGATTTGGAGATCGAGACTGTAAAGAAACAGAGAATCAAATGGCTAATCACTTATCCAGGTTAGAAACTCGGAATCATGTAGTTGGGGGAGATGTCATCAAGGAAACATTCACGGATGAGAAATTATTGTCCATTACTGCTGGGGAGGTTCCATGGTATGAAAATTTTGTGAACAATCTTGAAAGTGGAGAGATGCCGCCTGATCTTGAACCTTATGCTAAAAATAAGTTCTTGCGAGATGTGAGGTCATATGTGTGGGATGAGCCATTTCTGTTCAAATCTTGTACCGATCAGTTAATAAGAAGCTGTGTGCCCGAATCTAAAATAAATGTTATCTTACATGACTATCATGCGTCGCCTTATAGTGATCATTATGCGGGTGACAATCTTGAAAAGTCCATGAGTTTGTGAGTTCGTGAGGAGGTATGATAGGTGCCAGATAATAGGAACAATCTTGAAAAGGCATGAGATGCCATTGCACGGTATTATGGAGGTTGAAATTTTTTATGTGTGGGGAATTGATTTTATGGGTCCGTTTTCGTTGTCCAGTAGGTGTAAGCACATTTTGGTGGCCGTTGACTATGTGTCGAAGTGGGTGGAGGCCATTGCTCTTCCTACCAACGATGCCAATGTTGTGGTCAACTTTGTGAAAAAGCATATCTTTACAAGGTTCGGTACTCCGAGAGTGATGATTAGTGATGGGGGCACCCATTTCTGTAACAAGCTCTTGGACAATGTCTTAGCACAATATGGGGTCAAACATAAGGTTGCAACCGCTTACCATCCTCAAAATAGTGGGCAAGTTGAAGTCTCAAATAGAGAGATAAAGTAGATCCTAGAGAAGACGGTTAGTGCAAGTAGGAAAGATTAGGCTGCAAAGCTTGATGATGATCTATGGGCATACTAGACTGCCTACAAAACACCAATCGGAACCTCCCCTTAACAGCTAGTTTATGGGATGGCATGCCATTTACCGGTGGAACTTGAGCACAAGGCCTATTGGGCGATAAAGAAGCTGAACTTTGATGCAGAATTAGTGGGTAGAAAGCAGGTGATGCAATTGAACGAGCTTGATGAGTTTCGCTTGCATGCGTATGAGAATGCAAAGTTATATAAAGAAAAGACCAAGCGCTTGCATGATAAGCATATCCACTATCACGAGTTCGAACCGGGCTAATTGGTTCTCTTGTTCAATTGTAGGTTAAGACTTTTTCCGGGGAAGCTCAAATCGAGATGGTCGGGCCCGTTGGAGGTAGTGAGAGTCACTCCACATGGTGCAATTGAGCTGCGCATCTTAGGTGGTGAGAGAACGTTCTTAGTGAACGAACAAAGAGTAAAGCACTATTATGGAGGTGACTTTGATAGTCAAAAGTCAATGGTGTTACTTGCCAATGATTAGACGCGATTCTGTGTCGTGCCGCGACGTTAAATCAGGCGCTTGTTGGGAGGCAACCCATCTTTACTGCTTTCTTTTATTTTTATTTTTTATCTTATTATTGTTGTAGTGTTTTTTTTTGCTTTGCAGGATTATAAGCATAGGAGGCAAAGCCATTAGAGGTGTGGAAAAATGAGTTAGATGGTGAGAACTAAGTGTGGGGTGCCCACACAAAGGACCATGCCTGGGGGAAGTCTGAGTACTCCGTGAGCCGCTATTGCTTCGGCCTTTGGCCTTTTAGGGAGTTTCTTGTCCACCCTCATTATTGTTTTGCTTTATTTATGCGTTTGGGACACTACACTCTTTTAAGTGTGGGGTGGGAGAATTCTCTAGATAATTAGTAGTAGGATATTAGAAAAATGTTAACTTCTTATTTTTGTTTTCGTAGTTGTCTAATGTTTTAGTATTTTAGTAGCTATGAAAAATATTGAAAAAAAAAGTAGAAAAATTGGACTTTTCCCGACGATGGATCTCCTAGACAGTTTTCTTGAGGGATTTAAGTCTAAGGAAAAAGGACAAAAAGATTTTCTTTGTATGTAGTGTAGTAATTCCCCCTTGGTTTTTCTTTGTGCCGCGGTTCTTTTCTAAGGATATTGTTTGAACCGAGTGTAGTTAGTTTTATTTTCTTTAGGAGTATGAGCCATTATGAGATGAATTGAATTGAAGAAATATCTCTTGACTTTGTTATGCCTTGAGAATAGTGAGTACTTTGGTTGTGACGCTTAGGCTCAGTTTTTGACTCTTGTATAAGTACCTTAAATTGTATGATCTAAAATTTGCTTAACTGCTTTGACTAGAGTGTCTTGATGAGTCCGATACTTAGTGACTTATGTGTCAGGTGTGTGTGAGGTTTGTGTATTATTTTTTGCATTGCATTTGATGTCTAGAACTTGCCCCGTGTGTTTGCAAAGTGAAATAGTAGTTTTGTTCAGTCTTGGAAGTGATATAGGCATTTCTTTGTTGAGCCAGTTATATGTAGTTTACCCGCCTAATTGTTATGTATCGTAGTTAACCCCTTTGAGCCTGTAATCCTGTTTCTTTGGCAACCACATTACAAGACTTACCGATTTGTTTGAATTAACCATCTATTTGAACATTTTAACTTCTCATGAGCACTTGAATTGCAGTGAACTTTGTAAAAGTTAAAGTGTGGGGTGGTTGGTTTGGCTTTTGAGTGGAACTAATGAAATAAGGAGAGAGGTGCACTGTTTTGAAAAACTAAGAGCCACGTGAATTGAAAAACAAAGAAAAAAAATATATAGTTGTATTGATGTGAAAATTATTCCTTGATAGTCGTGACTCTTGATGTAATTGTGCTTAAAAGAAGTATGGAGTAATATGCATAGATGTGAAGGTGGAGTTTGGTTTGACACAAGTATGGGGTTTGAATGTTAAAGTATATGTATTAAAGTGCTTAGGGAGGTGTAGTCACTCTTATAGCCAAATGTATCCTACCCGACCTGCAACCTACATTACAAACAATTAAAGTCATACTTGATCCTAGACTGAATGAGCTCGATTAGTAGTGTGGTACACTACGGGCAAGCCTATGGTGCATCTTTTGTGGCATATGAATGTTATTTCTAAGAGTGAGTGAATTCTTCCTATCTTGAGTTAATAATTGTTCTTAAATTTTAATGTGTGTGGAACTACTCTCTTTTGTTGTGTGAGGGCACTTGATTCATGAAGGAAAGGTAATAATGTCATTTACCTCTATGTTAGAGTAAGTGAGTGAGTAGTGAATAATGCATGGTACTTGTGAGTCAAATCTTGAGGTGAAGATGTTACACCCTTGTGCTTAGTCTATTTTAAAGATTCTTGGTGTGATGAGTTAGGAGAATTGTTTAAAAAGGTCGTGTCTATATAAAGGGTAGTTTTATTGCTCGAGGACGAGCAACATTTAAGTGTGGGGTAGTGATGTTTGGCTATAATTCCATATTTTTAGTGCGTTACTTACCTTACATTTTGGGGATTTAATGCAAAACTATACTATATTTGTGCTTAATTGAGTTTATTTTATGTGTAGGTACGTTGAAGACGAAATTGGGAGCAAAGTAGAGATTTTATGTGTATTTTATGCGTTACAAGAATGGAGTTATGATTATTTAATTAGTGGATATATAGGTATTAAAGTTTAACATTATAAAGGAAGACAAAAGAGACAAATCAAAAGAAGTCAAAAATAACAATTGAAAAAATAAACAAAAACGTGAATTAGAAATGTTAGGCAACAAAATTGAATCGAAGCAGCAGTAGGCGTAGCGAGATACTTTGCTCGCGTTAGAGCAGGCGAGGCGAGGATTCAAGAGCGCGACAGAGCTTGCGTCGCATGGGCTACAACGAGATGAAGCTCACGTTTTGCCTCGCGCCATGAGGACTGTAGCGAGGGTGTTCTGAGTTTTAAAGCCTACTTTATATCCTTTTTGGTTTTGGACTTGGTTATTTTGTCTAGGTTTTTTCCCCTATACATATAAATAATCATTAAACAACATTTTTAGAGGTGTTTTTGCGACCGGAGGCAAGAATATCACGTGGAATAACTTTCGGAGGAGAAAATCAGCGAGTTCTTCATTCATTTATCTTTTCTTTGTAAGTTGTTTCTGCAAAATACTTAGAAAATTGTTACTAAGAACATGAATGGCTAAGCACATCTTCGTTAATTCGGATTATTACACTGTGGTTGTTTCTTTAATTCTAGTTTTAACTTGTGAATTGTTGTAGCTACCAATTCACCCTACTATCTATGCTATGCTTGGGGAAAGCTGTGTTTAGATTAGAATAGAATTAGAGAGAGCTTGTTTCTGAACCTGTGGCTCGGGGGACAATTTCGCGGTTAGGATAAGAATATACCTAACAGTATTGCTTAATTGAATACCGTATTATATTCGTTCATGATAGACTCAATACCATAGGAATATAGGATTGATATATTGTGAGCAGGCGAGTAGTATTGTTGGAACATGCTATTCATATAAATGATCCGGTTAATTAGCAACCATAGATAATCTGGATTAACGAGTGTGATTATGGAACTTAATAGGACTGATAAACCAACCACAATCCTTGAATTTTCACCTTCTCTAAATTAAAATCTCATCATAAACATTTGCACTCTTGATAAATTAGTTGTTACTTGTTTAATTTCCGCAATTATAGATTAATAGAAAAACATCACTCTTAAATATCTTGAACTTTTAATTATTTTTTGTTTGCTTAGTTGACAATTGATCTAAGTCTCTTTGGGTTCGACATCCGACTTTTGAGTCACTTTATTACTTGACGGTCACATATACTTGTGTGTACTTGGGGAACCAACAAGTTTTTGGCGCCGTTGCCGGGGACTTAGTTATTGATTGTTTATCTCTAAGTTAAGCTTTTATTCGTTATTTGTTCAAGTTTTAATTTTTAATTTGCTCTATTNTATTTGTGATAACGCATGCTCTTCTGTTGAATGCAGAGTAGTGGAAGCGAAAACAATATCCTTCCGCTTTATCCTGAGATCGAACGAACACTTCATAGAGTGAGGAGGGAAGTTGAAGCTAGAACTAGA